TCGCTGCTGATGATGTTGCAGTGCGAGCTAGACTTGTCAGTGCTGATGATGGCGCTGTTGCTGCTGCGGATGATGCCAGCTAGGCGTGTCGGTGCCGATGATGCTGCTGATTATGATAATGCTAATGATGCTGGTGATGCTGATAATGCTGATGATGATGCTGATGATGCTAATGATGCTGATAACGCTGATAATGCTGATGATGCTGATGATAATGCTGATGATGATGCTGATGATGTTAATGATGCTGATAACGCTGCTGCTGCTGCTGTTGACGATGCCGGCTAGTTGTTTCGGTGCTGATGATGATACTGCTAATGATGCTGATGATGCTGATAATGCTGATGATGCTGATAATGCTGATGATGCTGATAATGCTGATGATGCTGATAATGCTGATGATGCTGATGATGATGCTGATAATGCTGCTGCTGCTGACGATGCCGGCTAGGCGTGTCGGTGCTGGCGGTGGCGGTGGGGGCCGGTGCACCCCGGCACAATCTGGCCGTGTTGGCCGGTGCCGCTGGTCGCGTCTTCTCCGTGCCGAGCTTCGCTCAGCTGCCCCTCGCCGCCGCACTCAGCCCCGAGCTGCTCACCACGCTCTGCACCGGTACGGCTCCTCACCCCTTACGACTCACCACGTACAGCTCACCACGTACGACTCACCACGTACGACTCACCACGTACGGCTCCTCACCCTGCTCACCACGTACGGCTCACCCCATATGACTCACCACGTACGACTCACCACGTACGACTCCTCACCGCTCGGCTCACCCCGTAGGGCCTTCCTGGGTAAACAAGTGGAATCACAACAACAACAATAACAACAACAATAACAACAACACAACCAACAATAATAAGCGAGTGTTGACTGCTGTGTGGGGGTGTTTTGTGTTGAGCAGTGAGGCCTCCGCAGGTGTGCGTGGATGAAGATGGCATTGAGAGGAAGGTGAGGACACGCTACCCACACGCTACCAACACGCTATCCACACGCTACCAACACGCTATCCACACGTTACCAATACGCTGCCCACATGCTACCCACACGTTACCAACACGCTACCCATAAGCTACCCACACGCTATCCACACGCTACCCACACGCTACCCACACGTTACCAACACGCTACCCATAAGCTACCCACACGCTATCCACATGCTATCCACACGCTACCCACACGTTACCAACACACTACCAACACGCTACCCACTCGCTACCAACACGCTACCCACACGCTACCCACACGCTACCCACACGCTACCAACACGCTACCCACACGCTACCAACACGCTATCCACACGCTACCCACACGCTACCCACACTCACGCACACACACACTCACGCACACACACACACTCACGCACACACACACTCACACACACTCACGCACGCACGCACACTCACGCACACACACACACTCACGCACACACACGCGCACACCCTCACGCACGCACGACGTCTCCCATGATTTCTCCGTGACCCCCAGCGACCACCGCCTTGTCCACCCCCCCCCCCCCCCCCCCCCCGGGCCAGGCGGGCGAGCGCTGGGAGGTTCGGGGCGGCTGCCACGGCGCGGTGTGCCGGGCCGGCGGCAGCGTGGAGCTGCTGGGCCGCGCCACGAGCTGCGAGCGGACGCCGGCTCCCTCGTGTCCCGGTGCCGTGGTGGCGCGGCGCGTGCAGGGGCCGTGCGGGTGCCGCTGGGAGTGCCCCTGTGAGTTGGGCGCAGCAGCCGCCCGCTCGCAGCACCTGCCCCAACCGCACGTGTTAAGGCTACACGGGGGACCTTTGTCTTTGTAGCTGTCCCACCTGTGTGTGTGTGTGTCTGTGTGTGTCTGAGATGACGATACCTGCAGCTCGCTGGCATTGCGAGTTGCGTCTTCGCGCGCGGGGAGCGGTGGTGCAGCGGTTAGCGCTACGCTGAGCCACCAGCGAGGCCGGGTTCGATGCCCGCTCGCGGCCAACACCGGCGGCGATTATCTGAACCGGTCCCGGGCCTCTCCTAGGTCGACTCGGCCTCAATTGAGTACTTGGTGCGGCACGTCAACATCGGCACTGGGGAGACAAAGGCGGCCGGGCGCGGTGCTGGCCCCACCCACACAACCCCCTCGTGCGCCGTGGCGGCTTTTGTCGGCGCCGCTCGCTTACAGCGCTTGCCCCAACCGCCTGTCAAGGCTACACGGGGGACCTTTGCCTGCGTGTGTGCACGTGCGTGCATGTGCGTGCGCGCGTGCGTGTGTGTGTGCGTGTGTTTGTGTGTTCATGTGTGCGTGCGTGTGTGCGTGCACGTGCGTGTGTGCGTGCACGTGCGTGTGTGCGTACACGTGCGTGTGCGGGTGCACGTGTGTGTGTGCGTGCACGTGCGTGTGTGCGTACACGTGTGTGTGCGTGCACGTGCATGTGTGCGTGCACGTGCGTGTGTGCGTGCACGTGCGTGTGTGCGTGCACGTGCGTGTGTGCGTACACGTGCGTGTGTGCGTGCACGTGCGTGTGTGCGTGCACGTGTGTGTGTGCGTGCGCGCGTGTGCGTGCGTGCAGGCGTGTGTACGGTGGGGGGAGACGGAGCGCTGCTCACGTTTGACGGGCGCCGCCTGCACTCCCACGTGCACTGCTCCTACGCGCTGCTGGGGCTGGGCGAGGAGCCCGAGCTGGCCGTGTCGGTGGCGGCCGGCGCCCGCGGCCGCACCGTGAGGCTCTCGGTGCGGGGACACGAAGTGGAGCTACACTCCGACTTGAGCGTGAGCACCGCCGTCATCATCCTCCTCTCGCGGTGCTGCTGCTGCTGCTGGTGGTGGTGATGGTGGTGGCGATGGTGGTGGTCATGGTTATGATGGTGGTGGTGATGGTGGCGATGGTGGTTATGATGATGATGGCGATGGTGGCGGTGGTTATGATGGTGGTGATGGTGGTGATGGCGGTGGTCATGGTTATGATGGTGGTGGTGATGGTGGCGATGGTGGTGGTTATGGTGGTGGTGGTGATGGTGGTGGTGGTGATGGTGGCGATGGTGGCGGTGGTGGTTATGATGGTGGTGATGGTGGTGATGGTGGTGGTCATGGTTATGACGGTGGTGGTGGTGGTGGTGATGGTGGCAGTGGTGGTGGTTATGATGGTGGTGATGGTGGCGATGGTGGCGGTGGTGGTGGTTATGATGGTGGTGGCGATGGTGGTGGTCATGGTTATGATGGTGGTGGTGGCGATGGTAGCGGTGGTGGTAGTTATGATGGTGGTGGAGGAGGCTCGTGAAGGACGCTACTGGGCAGTTGGAGGCAGTCCAACAACAACGGAGGGCGGAGGAGCGACGCTCACAACAACGAGCGGAGGCGCCGGGCGGCTAAAATGCAGCAAGTTGGCACAGTAGGGGGTTACAGGTGGTGTGCATCTAGCGGCCATCTCAGTCTCGAGGTTTCCCGTGCTGCCACGTGACTCAGCAAGTGTGGAGGGCGCCACTCCAGTGCCTGGTTGGTGAGGAGGGGGGGGGGATCAGGGGTGGGGATCAAATCAGGACCACTCTCGAGGGCTGTGGACTCGAAATGAGGCCGCGATGGCTCACGCTGAGCAGGGCTGTGGACAAAAGCCCCTTCACTCCCTCCCTCCATCCCTCTCCCTCCCTCTCCATCCCTCTCCCTCTCCACCCTCCCTCTCCCTCACTCCCTCTCCATCCCTCTCCATCCCCCCCTCTCCCTCCCTCTCCCTCCCTCCCTCTCCATCCCCCCCTCTCCCTCCCTCCCTTTCCCTCCCTCTCCATCCCTCTCCCTCCCTCTCCACCCCCCTCTCCCTCCCTCTCCACCCCTCTCCCCCCACCAGGTGAGTGTGGACGGGCGTGCGAGCGAGTCCCCGCTACAAGTCGCGGGCCTGCTGGAGGTTCAGTCGCGCGCCCCGCTGCAGCTGGAGGCCCGGCTGCCGGCCCTGGGCCTGCGGCTCCTCACCTTCAACCCCGGCACGCAGGAGGTCACCGTGGAGGCCGACCCGCCGCCGCCGCGTGCCGGCGGGGCGCGCTCCACGGCCCGCGGCCTCTGCGGTGAGCCGTCTGCTCGCCCGCCGACGGGTTGCGCGAGACGAGTTGCGTGCTACGAGTTGCGCGAGACGAGTTGCGCCAGACGAGTTGCGCGAGACGAGTTGCGCGAGACGAGTTGCGCGCGACGAGTTGCGCGAGACGAGTTGCGCGAGACGAGTTGCGCGAGACGAGTTGCGCGAGACGAGTTGCGTGCTACGAGTTGCGCGAGACGAGTTGCGTGCTACGAGTTGCGCGAGACGAGTTGCGCCAGACGAGTTGCGCGAGACGAGTTGCGCGAGACGAGTTGCGCGAGACGAGTTGCGCGAGACGAGTTGCACGAGACGAGTGGCACGAGACGAGTTGCGCGCTACGAGTTGCGCGAGACGAGTGGCGCGAGACGAGTTGCGCGAGACGAGTTGCGCGAGACGAGTTGCGCGAGACGAGTTGCACGAGACGAGTGGCACGAGACGAGTTGCGCGCTACGAGTTGCGCGAGACGAGTTGCGCGAGACGAGTTGCGCGAGACGAGTTGCGCGAGACGAGTTGCGCGAGACGAGTTGCGCGAGACGAGTTGCGCGAGACGAGTTGCGCGAGACGAGTTGCGCGAGACGAGTTGCGCGAGACGAGTTGCGTGCTACGAGTTGCGCGAGACGAGTTGCGCGAGACGAGTTGCGCGAGACGAGTTGCGCGAGACGAGTTGCGCGAGACGAGTGGCGCGAGACGAGTTGCGCGAGACGAGTTGCGCGAGACGAGTTGCGTGCTACGAGTTGCGCGAGACGAGTTGCGCCAGACGAGTTGCGCGAGACGAGTTGCGCAAGACGAGTTGCACGAGACGAGTGGCACGAGACGAGTTGCGCGCTACGAGTTGCGCGAGACGAGTTGCGCGAGACGAGTTGCGCGAGACGAGTTGCGTGCTACGAGTTGCGCGAGACGAGTTGCGTGCTACGAGTTGCGCGAGACGAGTTGCGCCAGACGAGTTGCGCGAGACGAGTGGCACGAGACGAGTTGCGCGAGACGAGTTGCGCGAGACGAGTTGCGCGAGACGAGTTGCGTGCTACGAGTTGCGCGAGACGAGTTGCGCCAGACGAGTTGCGCGAGACGAGTTGCGCGAGCCAAGTTGTGCGAGACGAGTTGCGCGAGACGAGTGGCGCGAGACGAGTTGCGTGCTACGAGTTGCGCGAGACGAGTTGCGCCAGACGAGTTGCGCGAGACGAGTTGCGCGAGACGAGTTGCGCGAGACGAGTTGCGCGCGACGAGTTGCGCGAGACGAGTTGCGCGAGACGAGTTGCGCGCTACGAGTTGCGCGAGACGAGTTGCGCGAGACGAGTTGCGCGAGACGAGTGGCACGAGACGAGTTGCGCGCTACGAGTTGCGCGAGACGAGTTGCGCGAGACGAGTTGTGCGAGACGAGTTGCGCGAGACGAGTTGCGCGCGACGAGTTGCGCGAGACGAGTTGCACGAGACGAGTTGCGCGCTACGAGTTGCGCGAGACGAGTTGCGCGAGACGAGTTGCGTGCTACGAGTTGCGCGAGACGAGTTGCGCCAGACGAGTTGCGCGAGACGAGTTGCGCAAGACGAGTTGCACGAGACGAGTGGCACGAGACGAGTTGCGCGCTACGAGTTGCGCGAGACGAGTTGCGCGAGACGAGTTGCGCGAGACGAGTTGCGTGCTACGAGTTGCGCGAGACGAGTTGCGTGCTACGAGTTGCGCGAGACGAGTTGCGCCAGACGAGTGGCACGAGACGAGTTGCGCGAGACGAGTTGCGCGAGACGAGTTGCGCGCTACGAGTTGCGCGAGACGAGTTGCGCGAGACGAGTTGCGTGCTACGAGTTGCGCGAGACGAGTTGCGCGAGACGAGTTGCGCGAGCCAAGTTGAGCGAGACGAGTTGCGCGCTACGAGTTGCGCGAGACGAGTTGCGTGCGACGAGTTGCGCGCTACGAGTTGCGCGAGACGAGTTGCGCGCGACGAGTTGCGCGAGACGAGTTGCGCGCGACGAGTTGCGCCAGACGAGTTGCGCCAGACGAGTTGGGTGAGACGAGTTGCGCGAGACGAGTTGCGCGAGCCAAGTTGTGCGAGACGAGTTGCGCGCTACGAGTTGCGCGAGACGAGTTGCGTGCGACGAGTTGCGCGCTACGAGTTGCGCGAGACGAGTTGCGTGCGACGAGTTGCGCGAGACGAGTTGCGCCAGACGAGTTGCGCGAGACGAGTTGCACGAGACGAGTGGCACGAGACGAGTTGCGCGAGACGAGTTGCGCGAGACGAGTTGCGCGAGACGAGTTGCGCGAGACGAGTTGCGCGAGACGAGTTGCACGAGACGAGTGGCACGAGACGAGTTGCGCGCTACGAGTTGCGCGAGACGAGTTGCGCGAGACGAGTTGCGCGAGACGAGTTGCGCGAGACGAGTTGCGCGAGACGAGTTGCGCGAGACGAGTTGTGCCAGACGAGTTGCGCGCTACGAGTTGCGCGAGACGAGTTGCGCGCGACGAGTTGCGCGCGACGAGTTGCGCGAGACGAGTGGCGCGAGACGAGTGGCGCGAGACGAGTTGCGCGAGACGAGTTGCGCGCGACGAGTTGCGCGAGACGAGTGGCGCGAGACGAGTTGCGCGAGACGAGTTGCGCGAGACGAGTTGCGCGAGACGAGTTGCGCGAGACGAGTTGCGCGAGACGAGTTGCGCGAGACGAGTTGCGCGAGACGAGTTGCGCGCGACGAGTTGCGCGAGACGAGTGGCGCGAGACGAGTTGCGCGAGACGAGTTGCGCGAGACGAGTTGCGCGAGACGAGTTGCGCGAGACGAGTGGCACGAGACGAGTTGCGCGAGACGAGTGGCGCGAGACGAGTTGCGCGAGACGAGTTGCGCGAGACGAGTTGCGCGAGACGAGTTGCGCGCTACGAGTTGCGCGAGACGAGTTGCGCGAGACGAGTTGCGCGAGACGAGTTGCGCGAGACGAGTTGCACGCTACGAGTTGCGCGCTACGAGTGGCGCGAGACGAGTTGCGCGAGACGAGTTGCGCGAGACGAGTTGCGAGAGACGAGTTGCGCGCTACGAGTTGCGCGAGACGAGTTGCGCGAGACGAGTGGCGCGAGACGAGTTGCGCGAGACGAGTTGCGCAAGACGAGTTGCGCGCTACGAGTTGCGCGAGACGAGTTGCGCAAGACGAGTTGCGCGCTACGAGTTGCGCGAGACGAGTTGCGCGAGACGAGTTGCGCGAGACGAGTTGCGCGAGACGAGTTGCGCGAGACGAGTTGCGCGAGACGAGTTGCACGCTACGAGTTGCGCGAGACGAGTTGCGCGAGACGAGTTGCGCGAGACGAGTTGACGAGACGAGTTGACGAGTTGTCCCAATGATTCCCCTGCCCCGCCCGGCAGGAGCGTGCGACCACGACGCCTCCAACGACCTCCTGCTGCTCGACCCCTCCAGCACCTCGGCCGCCGCCTTCGAGCGCGGCTGGCGCCACGGCCCCTGCCTCAACGCGACGACGAGCGAGGAGGAGGAGGAGGCGGCGGTGGAGGAGGAGGAGGCGGAGGAGGTGGCGGTGGGGCGGCCTTGCGAGTTCCCGCAGGAGGCCGCCGCCTGCACGTTGATCTCGGACCCCCGCGGGCCCTTCGCCCCCTGCCACGCGACGGTGCCCCCCGGGCCCCACGCGCTGGCGTGCCGCCGGGAGGCGTGCGGGGGGGGGCGCGGCCCCCCGCCCGGCACGCCGGAGGAGGGGGGGCCGGGGGGGGGGCCCCACCGGCGCTGTCGGGCCATGGCGGCCTACGCGGACGCGTGCCGGGCGCGTGCCAGGCTCTGCCTGCGCTGGAGGTCGCCAGATCTGTGCCGTGAGTCGCTCGCTGGGGTGGGCGATGACGATGATGATGATGACGACGATGATTACAATTATGATGATGACGATGATGACGACGATGATGATGACGACGATGATTACAATTATGATGATTGATGATGATGACGATGATGACGATGATGATGACGATGATGATTACAATTATGACGATGACGATGATGACGATGATGACGATAATGATGATGATGACGATGATGATGATGACGATGATGATGATGACGACGATGATTACAATTATGATGATTGATGATGATGACGATGATGACGATGATGATGACGATGATGATTACAATTATGACGATGACGATGATGACGATGATGACGATAATGATGATGATGACGATGATGATGATGACGATGATGATGATGACGACGATGATTACAATTATGATGATTGATGATGATGACGATGATGACGATGATGATGACGATGATGATTACAATTATGACGATGACGATGATGACGATGATGACGATAATGATGATGATGACGATGATGATGATGACGATGATGATGATGACGACGATGATGATGACGACGATGATTACAATTATGATGATGACGATGATGATGACGATGATGACGACGATGATGATGATGATGACGATGATGATGACGATGATTACAATTATGATGATGATGACGATGATGATGACGATGATGACGATAATGATGACGACGACGATAATGACGATCCCACCTATCCATGCCCCAGCACTGGACTGCCCTGAGGGCATGGTCTACGAGGCTTGCCAGTCGGGCTGCGAGCCGACCTGCGACCCCGACTCCAACGACAACAACAATGGCAACATCAACAACAACAATGGCAACATCAACAACAACAATGGCAACATCAACAACAACAACAACAATGCTTCCTCCTCGTGCGAGGGGGCCCCCAGGGAGGGGTGCTTCTGCCCCGAGGGCTTCCGGAACCGCGGGGGTCTCTGCGTCTACCCCGGTGATTGCGACACCTGCAAGGATCACAAGGGGCTGCGTCACCAGGTGAGGATGACGATGGTGGTGGTTGTTGTTGTTGGCGATCGTTTATCCCCTGGCGGAATGTCTCGCCGAGTCTCAAGACTCCCTTTAAGGAGGGTCCTTACAAGTTCTTGCGATAGAGGCAGGAGGTGTTCCTGCTGCTCCTGCTGTATAGATTTGCGGTGTGATTGTAGCTGAGTTGGCATGTTTTGGTCAACACACGTTACACTGTGCGAGTGTGTGTTTGGTTATGGGAGGAAGCCGGAGAATCCGGAGAAAACCCGTGCAGAGCAGGGGTAGAGAATACAAACTCCACTCACTCACTCTGTGGAACAGGGGGAGATCATACAAACTCCACTCACTCACTCTGTTGAACAGGGGGAGATCATACAAACTCCACTCACTCACTCTGTGGAACAGGGGGAGATCATACAAACTCCACTCACTCACTCTGTGGAACAGGGGGAGATCATACAAACTCCACTCACTCACTCTGTAGAACAGGGGGAGATCACACAAACTCCACTCACTCACTCTGTAGAACAGGGGGAGATCATACAAACTCCACTCATTCACTCTGTAGAACAGGGGGAGATCATACAAACTCCACTCACTCACTCTGTAGAACAGGGGGAGATCATACAAACTCCACTCACTCACTCTGTAGAACACGGGGAGATCATACAATCTCCACTCACTCACTCTGTAGAACAGGGGGAGATCATACAAACTCCACTCACTTAGTAGAACAGGGGGAGATCATACAAACTCCACTCACTCACTCTGTAGAACAGGGGGAGATCATACAAATTCACTCACTCTGTAGAACAGGGGGAGATCATACAAAGTCCACTCACTCACTCTGTAGAACAGGGGGAGATCATACAAACTCCACTCACTCTGTAGAACAGGGGGAGATCATACAAACTCCACTCACTCACTCTGTAGAACAGGGGGAGATCATACAAACTCCACTCACTCTGTAGAACAGGGGGAGATCATACAAACTCCACTCACTCACTCTGTATAACAGGGGGAGATCATACAATCTCCACTCACTCATTCTGTAGAACAGGGGGAGATCATACAAACTCCACTCACTCACTCTGTATAACAGGGGGAGATCATACAAACTCCACTCACTCATTCTGTAGAACAGGGGGAGATCATACAAACTCCACTCACTCACTCTGTAGAACAGGGGGAGATCACACAAACTCCACTCACTCACTCTGTAGAACAGGGGGAGATCATACAAACTCCACTCACTCACTCTGTAGAACACGGGGAGATCATACAAACTCCACTCACTCACTGTAGAACAGGGGGAGATCATACAAACTCCACTCACTCTGTAGAACAGGGGGAGATCATACAAACTCCACTCACTCGGTAGAACAGGGGGAGATCATACAAACTCCACTTACTCACTCTGTAGAACAGGGGGAGATCATACAAACGCCACTTACTCTGTAGAACAGGGGGAGATCATACAAAGTCCACTCACTCACTCTGTAGAACAGGGGGAGATCATACAAACTCCACTCACTCTGTAGAACAGGGGGAGATCATACAAACTCCACTCACTCACTCTGTATAACAGGGGGAGATCATACAATCTCCACTCACTCATTCTGTAGAACAGGGGGAGATCATACAAACTCCACTCAATCACTCTGTATAACAGGGGGAGATCATACAAACTCCACTCACTCATTCTGTTGAACAGGGGGAGATCATACAAACTCCACTCACTCACTCTGTAGAACAGGGGGAGATCATACAAACTCCTCTCACTCACTCTGTAGAACAGGGGGAGATCATACAAACTCCACTCACTCACTCTGTAGAACACGGGGAGATCATACAAACTCCACTCACTCACTGTAGAACAGGGGGAGATCATACAAACTCCACTCACTCTGTAGAACAGGGGGAGATCATACAAACTCCACTCACTCACTGTAGAACAGGGGGAGATCACACAAACTCCACTCACTCACTCTTTAGAACAGGGGGAGATCATACAAACTCCACTCACTCACTCTGTAGAACAGGGGGAGATCATACAAACTCCACTCACTCACTGTAGAACAGGGGGAGATCATACAAACTCCACTCACTCACTGTAGAACAGGGGGAGATCATACAAACTCCACTCACTTAGTAGAACAGGGGGAGATCATACAAACTCCACTTACTCACTCTGTAGAACAGGGGGAGATCATACAAACTCCACTCACTCACTCACTCTGTAGAACAGGGGGAGATCATACAAACTCCACTCACTCACTCTGTAGAACAGGGGGAGATCATACAAACTCCACTCACTCTGTAGAACAGGGGGTGATCATACAAACTCCACTCACTCAGTAGAACAGGGGGAGATCATACAAACTCCACTCAGTAGAACAGGGGGAGATCATACAAACTCCACTCACTCAGTAGAACAGGGGGTGATCATACAAACTCCATCATGGGACCTTCCTTCCCAGTGTAAAAATATAATAATAGGTTTCACTCTTTATAGCAATAAAACAGCTGTGTTAAGATGTTGAAACACCAAACTGAAACCTTTTGCAACGAATCATGCCTGCATTGACCACTCGTACTTGGTGTGAACATGCAAACAAGATAACACACGCTTTGGTAGTTTATGATGATGCATTGTTTTTTAAACGGATTTGGTCCACACCAGAGACAGCTTTCCTTAGAGCCTAGTCTCACACAGTGTTAGACCAGAGGACAAGGCCAAAAGATGAACTTCTCAACACCTGTTGTATTGCCAGAAAGGGTAAACACCTATTCATATATACGCGAACCCCACTCACTCTCAGTAGGCACACATTGGCCGACTATCTTGCAAACGACGTCACGGGATCGTGAACGTACCCACACTACGAGTGCAGCAGACGATGGGCGCGTGTGGAGCGCGTTCCCGGCTCGTCATACTCCCCTGCCAGCATTAACCGGGCCGGGCCGCTGGATTCGAACCACGAACCTCTCTAAGCGTGGATAGAAAATGAAGAGATCACAACGTTTCGATCGCGACACAAGCAACCTTGGCTTGAGGCCACCTCAAGCCTCCATAACCTCCTGTTGCAGCAGCTCTTTCTCCTGCCGTCAGCAGTTCTCCCGCTTGGGGTTTGTCCCACCTGATGACGGTTGCTTGCGGTGCGTGATGACTTTATCGGAAGAACCAACGAGTGTGGATTGCTGCAGTCTGGAAAGCTTCAGATGAAGATTGCTTCTCTCTCAGCGCGTCGCCCTGCGGCGGGGAGCGGTGGGGCGCTGGCGAGCGCGCCGCCGCTACGAACCCGGCGGTCCCGGGGTTCGATGCCCCGCTCGCGGTCCACCAACACCGGCGGCTCTGGGCCTCCCCTAGGTCGATTCGGCCTCAAACGAGTACCTGGTGCGGTGCGTAGTAAACGTCGCCGCTCGGGAGACAAAAGCGGCCGGGCGTGGCGCTGGCCACCCACCCCCTTCGTGTGCCACGGTGCCGGCCTTCGTAGGTGCTGCTACTTGCTAACAGCACTTGCCCCTACGGTCTGCGAAGGCTACGAGGGTGATCTTTGTGTTTGTGTGTGCCCCAGCGTGGTGAAGTATGGCTGGACCCTGAGAACCCGTGCAGCCTGTGTACGTGTGCGCAGCACGGCCGTGTGCAGTGCAGCGTGCGGCAGTGCCCCACTCCTACCGGTGAGCCGCACTTCACCCCAAGGTTTCCCACACTCCACGTGACCCCACCTCCCAAACTCCAGTCCACGTGACCCCACCTCCCAAACTCCACTCCACGTGACCCCACCTCCCAAACTCCAGTCCACGTGACCCACCTCCAAAACTCCAGTCCACGTGACCCCACCTCCCAAACTCCAGTCCACGTGACCCCACCTCCCAAACTCCAGTCCACGTGACCCCACCTCCAAAACTCCAGTCCACGTGACCCCACCTCCAAAACTCCAGTCCACGTGACCCCACCTCCAAAACTCCAGTCCACGTGACCCCACCTCCCAAACAACACTCCACGTGACCCACCTCCAAAACTCCAGTCCACGTGACCCCACCTCCCAAACTCCAGTCCACGTGACCCACCTCCAAAACTCCAGTCCACGTGACCCCACCTCCAAAACTCCAGTCCACGTGACCCCACCTCCCAAACTCCAGTCCACGTGACCCCACCTCCCAAACTCCAGTCAACGTGACCCCACCTCCCAAACTCCAGTCCACGTGACCCCACCTCCAAAACTCCAGTCCACGTGACCCCACCTCCAAAACTCCAGTCCACGTGACCCCACCTCCAAAACTCCAGTCCACGTGACCCGACCTCCAAAACTCCAGTCCACGTGACCCCACCTCCAAAACTCCAGTCCACGTGACCCCACCTCCCAAACTCCAGTCCACGTGACCCCACCTCCCAAACTCCAGTCCACGTGACCCACCTCCGCGTTTACTAATTTACTCCTCCCCGTTGCTGCACGTGCCCGATGATTGTTCAACACGTCTTCTCACTCTCACTCACTTACTCATACTCTCTCTCACTCACTCATACTCTCTCTCACTCACTTACTCTCACCCTCTCACTCACTTACTCTCACTCACTCTCTCTCTCACACACTCTCTCACTCTCACTCACTTACTCTCACTCTCTCATTCACTTACTCTCACACCTACTCTCACACACTCTCTCACTCTCACACTCACTCACTCTAACACTCACACTCTCTCACTCTCACACTCACTCACAATCACTCTCTCTCACTCTCACACACTCTCTCACTCACACTTACTCTCACACTCACTCTTACTCACTTTCACACTCTCTCACACTCACTCACTCATACTCACTCTCACTCACTTACTCTCTCTCACACACTCTCTCACTCACTTACTCTCACGCTCTCACTCACTTACTCTCACACCTACTCTCACACACTCTCTCACTCTCACACTCACTCACTCTAACACTCACACTCTCTCACTCTCAAACTCAATCACAATCACTCTCTCTCACTCTCACACACTCTCTCACTCACACTTACTCTCACACTCACTCTTATTCACTTTCACACTCTCTCACTCTCTCTCACTCTCACACTCATTCTCTCTCACTCTCACACTCTCTCACTCTCTCTCACTCACTCTCTCACTCTCACACTCACTCTCTCACACTCACTCACACTCACTCTCACACTCACTCTCTCACACTCACTCACACTCACTCTCACACTCTCACACTCTCACACTCTCACTCTCTCTCACACTCACACTCACTCACTCACACTCACACTCTCACACTCACTCACTCTCTCACACTCACTCTCACTCTCTCACACTCTCACACTCTCACTCTCTCACACTCTCTCACTCTCACACTCTCACTCTCTCACACTCTCACACTCACACTCACTCACTCACACTCACTCACTCTCATACTCACTCACACTCACTCACTCTCTCACACTCACACTCACTCTCTCACACTCTCACACTCTCACACACTCACTCACTCTCACTCTCTCACTCTCTCTCACACTCACTCACTCTCACTCTCTCACACTCACTCACACTCACTCACTCTCTCACACTCACTCTCACTCTCACACTCTCACACTCACACTCTCACACTCTCACACTCTCACACACTCACTCACTCTCACTCTCTCACACTCTCTCACACTCACTCACACTCTCACTCTCTCACACTCTCACACTCACTCACACTCTCACACTCACTCACTCTCTCACACTCTCACACTCACACTCTCACACTCTCTCACTCTCACACTCCAGGGTTACCCACCCCTCCACCCCCCCCCCCCCCACCCCCACGACCCCCCCCACACCCCCCCACCCCCTCTCTTATCGCTCTCCGGGTGAGCGCAGCTGAAACGACCGCGATCTAATTTGGCCACGCGTCGGGTGGCGGGGGTTTTGACGACACAGACATCTCGTCCAGATCCTTCCCCTGCTGACACCATCCGCCCTCCTCCCTCCCCCCATCTCTAGCTAATTAATTAAGGTAATTATTTCCTTGTGACCCCCCCCCCACGTCCCCCCCAACTCAGCCCCGCCAAGCTGCCCCCCGTGTGAGGTCCCCCGGGAGAGACTCAGTTCGGACAAATGTTGCCCAGAGATCGAGTGCGGTGAGTACACGGCAAAGATGGTGGCGCGGAGATGTTGACTACCTCGCCTGGTACGCAGGAGGTCGTGGGTTCGATCCCGACCCTGACACCTGCTGCTGTGTATTTGGAGTTTGCGGTGTGTCTCTCTCTCTCTCTCTCATCATCATCACGGTGACTAGGAGATGTTAACTCCCTCGCCTGGTATACAGGAGGTCGCGGGTTCGATCCCAACCTTGACAACGCTTGCTGTATATTTGGAGTCTGTGTGTGTCTCTCTCTCATCATCATCACGGTGGCTATGAGATGTTAACGACCTCGCCTGGTATACAGGAGGTCGCGGGTTCGATCCCGACCCTGACGATGCCTGCTGCTGCTGCTGTATATTTGGAGTCTTGTGTCTCTCTCTCTCTCTCCCAGTGGTCGCGTCACCTCCCGGGTCCTCCTCCGCTTTTCCCTCCACATTGAGAATCATCGTCGCGTGTATTTGGCTGCTGCTATAGATGCGTGGTGGGTTCACTTGAGAGACACAACTCATTCAGGAGGCAACACGTTCATTCTACGACCACAACGGGGTAACTACATAACCGGTAACCACCACGGGGTAACCACATAAACGGGTCAGGTCAGTCGCCACCCCGCCTGACCCACGATGCCGAGCACGAAGAGCGGAGGCCGAGGAGAAGACGTCCCACGGCAGGTCCCATTCCAGCAGACAGCCCCGATGGGACCCCGGGACCTCCCTGTTATGGCTCCTAGCGTGGCCTGGCTCAGCCCTCGGCCCCGCCCCCTTCTGGAATTTCCCAGAAGATTCTGGGCCATGCACCACGTGTCCCTCCTGTCACCTTTGGCCCACATCCTTACCCTGTCCTGTCACGTGCCCTTGCCAGCCAATCGGGCTGCTACGTCCTCGGATGCCACCAGAACCGCGCCCCCTAGTGTCCTCTGCCATGGCATCGTGTACTCTGCTGGCAGAGAGGGCCACTACACACTCTCTCTGTCGGTAGATGGCGCTAGGCGCCGTAGTGACACTTTATATGTCACTACAAATGTATAAATGACGATGATCCCCTAAGGTGGGCTATCATTCGCGGCCAGCTAACTTCTGAAAAAAGAGATTTATAGCTCTGGTGTAATAAAAAATAAAATGTTTACGGTTTTTAGAGTTCATAGACAAAGATTCCCCAGTGCAGCCTTAACAAGCTGTCTGGGCAAGTGCTGTTTGCGAGTAGCAGACAAAAGCGCCCGGCCGCGTTTGTCTCTCCAGCACCAGGAACTCGTTTGAGGCCGAGTCGACCTAGGGGAAGCCCAGCACCGGTTCAGTTGAGTCGTTGCTGATAATGTTGCAGATGGCGCTTGCTGATGATTGTACTGATGCTGATGATGCTGGTGCTGATGACGGTGCTGATGACGATTGTTCTAGTGATGATGCTGGTTCTGTTGATGATGGTGCTGTGCTTGTGTGCGTGTGTTGTTCGCGTGTGTGTTCATCTGTGTGTTCATGTGTGTGTTCGTGTGTGTGTTCATGTGTGTGTTCGTGTGTGTGTGTTCATGGCCTCAGGGTGCACATAGCTTGGCACAAGCGTCGTGGTGACGTCACCGCCACTTAGTGGCGAATGGCGGTTGTTGTTGTGTTCATGTGTGTTGTTCGCGTGTGTGTTCATGTGTGTGTTTGTGTGTGTGTTCATGTGTGTGTTCGTGTGTGTGTGTTCATGTGTGTGTTCGTGTGTGTGTGTGTTCATGTGTGTGTTTGTGTGTGTGTTTATGTGTGTGTGTTCATGTGTGTGTTTGTGTGTGTGTTCATGTGTGTGTTCATGTGTGTGTGTTCATGTGTGTGTTTGTGTGTGTGTTCATGTGTGTGTTCATGTGTGTGTGTTCATGTGTGTGTGTGTGTGTTCATGTGTGTGTTTGTGTGTGTGTTCATGTGTGTGTTTGTGTGTGTGTTCATGTGTGTGTTTGTGTGTGTTCATGTGTGTGTTCATGTGTGTGTTTGTGTGTGTGTGTTTGTGTTCATGTGTGTGTTTGTGTGTGTGTATGTGTGTGTGTTCATGTGTGTGTTTGTGTGTGTGTTCATGTGTGTGTTCATGTGTGTGTGTTCATGTGTGTGTTTGTGTGTGTGTTCATGTGTGTGTTCATGTGTGTGTGTGTGTTCATGTGTGTGTTTGTGTGTGTGTGTTTGTGTGTGTGTTCATGTGTGTGTTTGTGTGTGTGTTCATGTGTGTGTTTGTGTGTGTGTTCATGTGTGTGTTTGTGTGTGTTCATGTGTGTGTTCATGTGTGTGTTTGTGTGTGTGTGTTCATGTGTGTGTTTGTGTGTGTGTTCATGTGTGTGTTTGTGTGTGTTCATGTGTGTGTTCGTGTGTGTGTTTGTGTGTTCATGTGTGTGTGTGTGTTCATGTGTGTGTGTGTGCGTAGTGTGCGAGGAGGCGTCGTGTGAGCGTGTGGCCGTGCCGCGCTGTGGCCCGGGACTCCTGGCCGAGCGGCTCAACCACAGCGCGTGCCAGCCGGCCTACCACTGTGGTGAGCCTGCACCTCGGCTCTCACCCTCGCACTCACCTCGCTCCCACCTCGCTCCCACCTCGCTCCCACCTCGCTCCCACCTCGCTCTCACCCTCGCTCTCACCTCGCTCTCCCCTCGCTCCCACCTCGCTCCCACCTCGCTCCCACCTCGCTCTCACCTCGCTCTCACCTCGCTCCCACCTCGCTCTCACCTCGCTCCCACCTCGCTCCCACCTCGCTCTCACCCTCGCTCCCACCTCGCTCCCACCTCGCTCCCACCTCGCTCTCACCTCGCTCCCACCTCGCTCTCCCCTCGCTCCCCCCTCGCTCTCACCTCGCTCCCACCTCGCTCTCACCTCGCTCCCACCTCGCTCCCACCTCGCTCTCACCTCGCTCTCACCCTCGCTCCCACCTCGCTCCCACCTCGCTCCCACCTCGCTCTCACCTCGCTCCCACCTCGCTCTCCCCTCGCTCCCCCCTCGCTCTCACCCTCGCTCCCACCTCGCTCCCACCTCGCTCCCACCTCGCTCTCACCTCGCTCCCACCTCGCTCCCACCTCGCTCCCACCTCGCTCTCACCTCGCTCCCACCTCGCTCCCACCTCGCCCTCACCCTCGCTCCCACCTCACTCTCACCTCGCTCCCACCTCGCTCCCACCTCGCTCCCACCTCGCTCCCACCTCGCTCCCACCTCGCTCCCACCTCGCTCCCACCTCGCTCTCACCTCGCTCCCACCTCGCTCCCACCTCGCCCTCACCCTCGCTCCCACCTCGCTCTCACCTCGCTCCCACCTCGCTCCCACCTCTCTCTCACCTCGCTCCCACCTCGCTCTCACCTAGCTCTCACCTCGCTCTCACCTCGCTCTCACCCTCGCTCCCACCTCGCTCTCACCTCGCTCCCACCTCGCTCTCACCTCGCTCTCACCCTCGCTCCCACCTCGCTCTCACCTCGCTCCCACCTCGCTCTCCCCTCGCTCTCCCCTCGCTCTCCCCTCGCTCCCACCTCGCTCTCACCTCGCTCTCACCCTCGCTCCCACCTCGCTCTCACCTCGCTCCCACCTCGCTCTCCCCTCGCTCTCCCCTCGCTCCCACCTCGCCCTCACCTCGCACTCACCCTCGCTCCCACCTCGCTCTCACCCTCGCCCTCACCTCGCTCCCACCTCGCTCCCACCTCGCTCCCACCTCGCTCCCACCTCGCTCCCACCTCGCTCTCACCCTCGCTCCCACCTCGCTCCCACCTCGCTCTCCCCTCGCTCTCCCCTCGCTCCCACCTCGCTCTCACCTCGCTCTCACCCTCGCTCCCACCTCGCTCTCACCTCGCTCCCACCTCGCTCTCCCCTCGCTCACCCCTCGCTCCCACCTCGCTCACACCTCGCTCTCACCCTCGCTCCCACCTCGCTCTCACCTCGCTCCCACCTCGCTCTCACCCTCGCCCTCACCTCGCTCCCACCTCGCTCCCACCTCGCTCCCACCTTGCTCCCACCTCGCTCCCACCTCGCTCTCACCCTCGCTCCCACCTCGCTCTCACCTCGCTCTCCCCTCGCTCCCACCTCGCTCTCCCCTTGCTCCCACCTCGCTCTCACCTCGCTCTCACCCTCGCTCCCACCTCGCTCTCACCTCGCTCCCACCTCGCGCTCCCCTCGCTCTCCCCTCGCTCCCACCTCGCTCTCACCTCGCTCTCACCCTCGCTCCCACCTCGCTCTCACCTCGCTCCCACCTCGCTCTCACCCTCGCCCTCACCTCGCTCCCACCTCGCTCCCACCTCGCTCCCACCTCGCTCCCACCTCGCTCCCACCTCGCTCTCACCCTCGCTCCCACCTCGCTCTCACCTCGCTCTCCCCTCGCTCCCACCTCGCTCTCACCTCGCTCTCACCTCGCTCTCACCTCGCTCCCACCTCGCTCCCACCTCGATCCCACCTCGCTCCCACCATCGCTCCCACCTCGCTCCCACCTCGCTCCCACCTCCCTCTCACCCTCGCTTCCACCTCGCTCCCACCTCGCTCTCACCTCGCTCCCACCTCGCTCCCACCTCGCTCCCACCTCGCTCTCACCCTCGCTCCCACCTCGCTCCCACCTCGCTCTCACCCTCGCTCCCACCTCGCTCCCACCTCGCTCCCACCTCGCTCCCACCCTCGCTCCCACCTCGCTCCCACCTCGCTCTCACCCTCGCTCCCACCTCGCTCCCACCTCGCTCCCACCTCGCTCCCACCCTCGCTCCCACCTCGCTCCCACCTCGCTCTCACCCTCGCTCCCACCTCGCTCCCACCTCGCTCTCACCCTCGCTCCCACCTCGCTCCCACCTCGCTCTCACCCTCGCTCTCACCCTCGCTCTCACCTCGCTCCCACCTCGCTCCCACCCTCGCTCCCACCTCGCTCCCACCTCGCTCCCACCTCGCTCCCACCCTCGCTCCCACCTCGCTCCCACCTCGCTCCCACCTCGCTCCCACCCTCGCTCCCACCTCGCTCCCACCTCGCTCTCACCCTCGCTCTCCCCTCGCTCCCACCTCGCTCTCACCTCGCTCTCACCCTCGCTCCCACCTCGCTCTCACCTCGCTCCCACCTCGCTCTCACCCTCGCCCTCACCTCGCTCCCACCTCGCTCCCACCTCGCTCCCACCTCGCTCCCACCTCGCTCTCACCCTCGCTCCCACCTCGCTCTCACCTCGCTCTCCCCTCGCTCCCACCTCGCTCTCACCTCGCTCTCACCTCGCTCCCACCTCGCTCCCACCTCGCTCCCACCTCGCTCCCACCTCGCTCCCACCTCGCTCCCACCTCGCTCTCACCCTCGCTCCCACCTCGCTCCCACCTCGCTCTCACCTCGCTCCCATCTCGCTCCCACCTCGCTCCCACCTCGCTCTCACCCTCGCTCCCACCTCGCTCCCACCTCGCTCCCACCTCGCTCCCACCCTCGCTCCCACCTCGCTCCCACCTCGCTCCCACCTCGCTCTCACCCTCGCTCCCACCTCGCTCCCACCTCGCTCCCACCTCGCTCCCACCTCGCTCCCACCTCGCTCTCACCCTCGCTCCCACCTCGCTCCCACCTCGCTCTCACCCTCGCTCCCACCTCGCTCTCACCCTCGCTCTCACCCTCGCTCCCACCTCGCTCCCCCCTCGCTCCCCCCTCGCTCCCCCCTCGCTCCCCCCTCCCTCCCCCCCTCGCTCCCCCCTCGCTCCCCCCCTCGCTCCCCCCTCGCTCCCCCCTCCCTCCCCCCTCGCTCCTCCCTCGCTCCCCCCTCGCTCCCCCCTCGCTCCCCCCTCCCTCCCCCCTCGCTCCTCCCTCGCTCCCCCTCATTCCCCTTTCTCTTCACCTCCACTTCTCTCCCCTCTCTTAATATTCCTCAATCTCCCCTCACCCCCCACCCCCCCACTCTCCTCTCTCACCCCCCCCCCACTCTCCCCTCTCTCCTCACCCCACTCACCCCCCCCCACCCCCCCACTCTCCCCTCTCTCCCCATCCTCTTCTCCCCTAACCCTCTCTCTTCTCCCCTTACCTAACCCGCTCCCCCCGGCCCCCCCCGCCCCCCACAGTGTGCCACCCAGAGGCGTGCCCTCTGCCCCCCCAGTGCCCCCCACGCCGCTTCCTCTCCGTCTCCGAGGGTCCGTGCTGCCGCGACTTCTCCTGCGACTGCCGGCCCTGCTCGGGGGTGGGGGGCGGCGGTGGGGGGGGCACCGCCCCCCCGGTCCCCTCCCCCGCCGCCCCCCCTCCACCGCCGTGCCCGCCGGGGACGCGAGCACGCACGGCCGTGGACGAGTGCGGCTGCGAGGAGACCGAGTGTCACCCGCACGGCGAGGTGAGTCCCCTCGTTCACCTGCCCCCTCGTTCACCTGTCCACTCACTCACCTGTCCACTCACTCACCTGCCCACCCACTCACCTGCCCACTCACTCACCTGCCCCCTCGTTCACCTGCCCACTCACTCACCTGTCCACTCACTCACCTGTCCACTCACTCACCTGCCCACCCACTCACCTGCCCACTCACTCACCTGTCCACTCACTCACCTGTCCACTCACTCACCTGCCCAATCACTCACCTGCCCACTCACTCACCTGCCCACCCACTCACCTGTCCACTCACTCACCTGTCCACTCACTCACCTGCCCCCTCGTGCACCTGCCCACTCACTCACCTGTCCACTCACTCACCTGCCCCCTCACTCACCTGCCCACTCACTCACCTGCCCACTCACTCACCTGTCCACTCACTCACCTGTCCACTCACTCACCTGCCCCCTCACTCACCTGCCCACTCACTCACCTGCCCACTCACTCACCTGTCCACTCACTCGCCTGCCCACTCACTCACCTGCCCAATCACTCACCTACCCACTCACTCACCTACCCACTCACTCACCTGCCCACTCATTCACCTGCCCACTCACTCACCTGCCCAATCACTCACCTGCCTACTCACTCACCTGCCCCTTCGCTCACCTGCCCCCTCAGTCACCTGCCCCCTCACTCACCTGCCCCCTCACTCACCTGCCTACTCACTCACCTACCCCCTCACTCACCTGCCCACTCACTCACCTGCCCACTCACTCACCTGTCCACTCACTCACCTACCCCCTCACTCACCTGCCCCCTCACTCACCTGCCCCCTCACTCACATGTCCACTCACTCACCTACCCCCTCACTCACCTTCCCACTCACTCACCTGCCCCCTCACTCACCTGCCCACTCACTCACCTTCCCACTCACTCACCTGCCCCCTCACTCACCTGCCCCCTCACTCACCTGTCCACTCACTCACCTGCCCCTCACTCACCTGCCCCTTCACTCACCTATCCACTCAATCACCTGCCTCCTCACTCACCTGCCCCCTCACTCACCTGCCCACTCACTCACCTGTCCACTCACTCACCTGCCCACTCACTCACCTGTCCACTCACTCACCTGCCCCCTCACTCACCTGCCCACTCACTCACCTGTCCACTCACTCACCTGCCCACTCACTCACCTGCCCACTCACTCACCTGCCCCCTCACTCACCAGCCCAATCACTCACCTACCCACTCACTCACCTGCCCCCTCACTCACCTTCCCACCCTCTCACCTGCCCGTGCCCCCCCCCCCCCAGGTGTGTGTGGACTCCGGGGTGGAGCGTGCACTGGGAGAGCGGTGGAGCAGGAACTGCAGCGACTGCTCCTGCCGGGCCGAGGGGGCGACGAGGGGGCCGGCGGCCGTGCGGTGCGTGCCGCGGAGCTGCGAGAGGAGATGCCCGCCGGTAACGTCATCGCCGGAGTCGTCATCGTCATCATCGCCTTCAATGTCATCGTCATCATCATCGTCATCAACGTCATCATCGTCATGATTATCATTATCAACGCCATCATCGCCATCAACCTCATCATCATCATCATCGACGTCATCATCGTCATCATTTGTCATCGTCATCATTGTCAACATCATTATCATCGTCACCGATTTTGGTAAGTGCCATCATTATGAGCGTCATAATTGCCATCATCGTCGTCATCATCGTCAACATCAGGGTTATTTTCCATCATCATCATCGACGTGGTCTTCATCAACACCATCATCAACTACAGGACATCTGTCAAAAAGAGCTTTATAGCTCATCAGATTCATCCTGCAGTCTAAAGAGAGATTCCCATTCTGAACATCGTAATTGGCGTAATAACATCATCATCGTCATCAACATCATCGTCATCAACATCATCGTCATCTTCATAATCTTTGACGTCATCATCGTTAGTTTTATCATTAGCAACAACTTAACAATCAGCATGAACTCTCCGTCGTCACCTTACCTGCATCATCATCATCACTCTCTCTCAATCCAACTGTTTGTCTCGCTGTGTCTCCTGTCTGTCTGTTCACCTGTATGATCACCTGTCTGTCTGTTCACCTGTATGATCACGTGTCTATCTATTCACCTGTATGATCACCTGTCTGTCTGTTCACCTGTATGATCACCTGTATGATCACCTGTCTATCTGTTCACCTGTATGATCACCTGTCTGTCTGTTCACCTGTATGATCACCTGTCTATCTGTTCACCTGTATGATCACCTGTATGATCACATGTCTGTCTGTTCACCTGTATGATCACCTGTCTATCTGTTCACCTGTATGATCACCTGTATGATCACCTGTCTGTCTGTTCACCTGTATGATCACCTGTCTGTCTGTTCACCTGTATGATCACCTGTCTGTCTGTTCACCTGTATGATCACCTGTCTATCTGTTCACCTGTATGATCACCTGTCTCTCTGTTCACCTGTATGATCACCTGTCTGTTTGTTCAACTGTATGATCACCTGTCTATCTGTACACCTGTATGATCACCTGTATGATCACCTGTCTATCTGTTCACCTGTATGATCACCTGTCTGTCTGTTCACCTGTATGATCACCTGTCTATCTGTTCACTTGTATGATCACCTGTATGATCACCTGTCTGTCTGTTCACCTGTATGATCACGTGTCTATCTGTTCACCTGTATGATCACCTGTATGATCACCTGTCTGTCTGTTCACCTGTATGATCACCTGTCTGTCTGTTCACCTGTATGATCACCTGTCTGTTTGTTCACCTGTATGATCACCTGTCTATCTGTACACCTGTATGATCACCTGTATGATCACCTGTCTGTCTGTTCACCTGTATGGTCACCTGTCTGTCTGTTCACCTGTATGATCACCTGTCTATCTGTTCACCTGTATGATCACCTGTCTGTCTGTTCACCTGTATGATCACCTGTCTGTCTATTCACCTGTATGATCACCTGTCTGTCTGTTCACCTGTATGATCACCTGTCTGTCTGTTCACCTGTATGATCACCTGTCTGTTTGTTCACCTGTATGATCACCTGTCTATCTGTACACCTGTATGATCACCTGTATGATCACCTGTCTGTCTGTTCACCTGTATGGTCACCTGTCTGTCTGTTCACCTGTATGATCACCTGTCTATCTGTTCACCTGTATGATCACCTGTCTGTCTGTTCACCTGTATGATCACCTGTCTGTCTATTCACCTGTATGATCACCTGTATGATCACCTGTCTGTCTGTTCACCTGTATGATCACCTGTCTGTCTATTCACCTGTATGATCACCTGTATGATCACCTGTCTATCTGTTCACCTGTATGATCACCTGTCTATCTGTTCACCTGTATGATCACCTGTCTATCTGTTCACCTGTATGATCACCTGTCTATATGGCTCCTCGTTCATTTGCCTGTCTTTCTTATTGTGTCTCTGTGTCTCAGGGCCACGTGTTCGCTGTGTCTCCGTGTCTCTCTCGATGTGTCTCTGTCTGTGTCTCTGTGTCTCAGGGCCACGTGTTAGCTGTCTCTCTCACTGTGTCTCTGTCTGTGTCTCTCTCGCTGTGTCTCTCTCACTGTGTCTTTGTCTGTGTCTCTCTCGCTGTGTCTCTCTCGCTGTGTCTCTGTGTCTCTCTCGCTGTGTCTCTCTCGCTGTGTCTCTGTGTCTCTGTTTGTGTCTCTGTGTCTCAGTTGCCACGTGTTCGCTGTGGCACGTGACGGCTGCTGCGGTGCCTGTGAGCTCACGAGCTGCGTGGTGTCTCTCTCACTGTGTCTCTGTGTCTCTGTCTGTGTGTCTGTGTCTCTGTGTCTGTGTCTGTGTCTCTGTGTCTCTGTGTCTCAGGGCCACGTGTTCGTCGCGGCTCCTGACGGCTGCTGCGGTGCCTGTGAGCTCACGAGCTGCGTGGTGTCTCTCTCACTGTGTCTCTGTGTCTCTGTCTGTGTCTGTGTCTCTGTGTCTCTGTGTCTCTGTGTCTGTGTCTGTGTCTCTGTGTCTCTGTGTCTCAGTTGCCACGTGTTCGTTGCGGCTCCTGACGGCTGCTGCGGTGCCTGTGAGCTCACGAGCTGCGTGGTGTCTCTCTCACTGTGTCTCTGTGTCTCTGTGTCTGTGTCTCTGTGTCTGTGTCTCTGTGTCTGTGTGTCTGTGTCTCTGTGTCTCAGGGCCACGTGTTTGTCCCGGCTCCTGACGGCTGCTGCGGTGCCTGTGAGCTCACGAGCTGCGTGGTGCAGAGCGGCACGAGCAGGGGAGATGAAGTGGCCACGACCAGCGTCTACCGCGTGCGTGCCACCACCACAACCACCGCCACAACCACCACAACCACCACCACCACTGCCACCACCACAACCACCACAACCACCACTACCACCACAACCACCACAACCACTACCATCGCCACCACCACCGCCACAACCACCACAACCACCACCACCACTGCCACCACAACCACTACCACCGCCACCACCACCGCCACAACCACCACAACCACCACAACCACTGCCACCACAACCACCACCGCCACAACCACCACAACCACTGCCACCACAACCACTGCCACCACCACCGCCACAACCACCACAACCACTGCCACCGCCACCACCACCGCCACAACCACCACAAACACTGCCGCCACAACCACTGCCACCACCACAACCACTGCCACCACTACCGCCACAACCACCACAACCACTGCCACCACCACCACAACCACTGCCACCACAACCACAGCCACCTCCACAACCACTGCCACCACCACAACTACAGCCACCACCACAACCACCGCCACAACCACCACAACCACTGCCACCTCCACAACCACTGCCACCACCACCACCACCACGACAACCACCGCCACCACCACCGCAACCACTGCCACCACCACAATCACCACAACCACTGCCACAACCACCAATACCAACACACCAACACCCGCCATTCGCTACTAAGTAATGGTGACGTCACCATGGCACCTGTGCCAGGCCACGTGCACTTCGAGGCCACGTGACAAGTGCCGAACGCCCGCTGGCAAAAAGTCTCGGGACAGACCCCAGATGCTCGGGGTCGACTCACTGAGATGACCGGCAGATGCACCACCTGTGCCCCCCTACTGTGCCGACTTGCAGCGGTTTAGCCGCCCTGCGCCCCGCTCGTTGTTGTGAGCGTCGCTGCTCTACCACCACCACTAAAAAGACAAAGATCCCCCGTGTAGCCTGTAACAGACTGTTGGGCCAAGTGCTGTTGGCGAGCACCTATGAAGGCCGGCTAACCTGAAACACTCCTTGCACCAACAGTCTCTTAGAGCTACACGGGGCTATCTGTGTCTCTGTGTGTGTCTCTGTGTGTGTGTCTCTGTGTGTGTGTCTCTGTGTGTGTCTCTGTGTGTGTCTGTGTGTGTGTCTCTGTGTGTGTCTCTGTGTTTGTCTCTGTGTGTGTCTGTGTGTGTGTCTCTGCGTGTGTCTCTGTGTGTGTCTCTGTGCGTGTCTCTGTGCGTGTGTCTCTGTGTGCGTCTCTGTGTGTGTCTCTGTGTGTGTCTCTGTGTGTCTCTGTGTGTGTCTCTGTGTGTGTGTCTGTGTGTGTGTCTGTGTGTATCTCTGTGTGTGTGTCTCTGCGTGTGTCTCTGTGTGTGTCTCTGTGCGTGTCTCTGTGCGTGTCTCTGTGTGTCTCTGTGTGTGTGTCTCTGTGTGTGTCTCTGTGTGTGTCTCTGTGTGTGTCTCTGTGTGTGTCACTGTGTGTGTGTGTGCGTGTGTGGATGTGGGTGGGGAGCGATAGTGTAGCGGTTAGCGCGCTGCGCTATGAACCTGGCGACCCGGGTTCGATTCCCGCTCACGGCCAACACCACTGACGATTATCTGAACCGGTCCCGGGCCTCCCCTAGGTCGACTCGGCCTTAAATGAGTACCTGGTGCGGTGTGTAGTAAACATCGCCACTAGGGAGACAAAGGCGGCCGGGCGTGGTGCTGGCCACCCACTCCCTCGTGTGCCGTTCCGGCCTTCACAGGCGCTCGCTAACAGCACTTGCCCCTACAGTCTGTTAAGGCTACACGGGGGACCTTTGTCTTTGTGGCGTCTGCACAGCTGGGAGAGGAGTGGCCCGTACCAGGAGCCCCCTGCTCTCGCTACAGGTGCGAGCGTGACCCGCTGGCGGTGGGGGGCGGCCCGGCCCCCCGCAGGGTCAACGTCACGTGCGGGCCCCCCACGGTGCCCGACTCGTGCCCCCCAGGGACCCGGCTCGACTGCGCTCAGCTGAGGCGGTGCTGCCCCGCCTGCCAGTGTGGTGAGCGAGTCGACCGGCTCACATCCAACCTCCGTGTACACACACAAACGTGCACACACACACGTGTACACACGTGTACACACGTGTACACACACGTACACACACGTACACACACGTGTACGTGTGTGTGTACACGTGCACACACACGTGTACACACACGTGCAACAACAACAACCGCCATTCGCCACTAAGTGGCGGTGACGTCACCACGACGCTTGTGCCAGGCTATGTGCACCCTGTACACGTGTGTGCACGTGCACACACGTGTACACAGACGTACGCACACGTGTACACACACGTGCACACATGTGTACACACACGTGTACACACACGTGCACACACACGTACACACACGTGCGCACACGTGTACACACACGTACGCACACGTGTACACACGTGCACACACACGTGTACACACACATGCATACACACGTGTACACACACGTGTACACACACGTGTACACACACGTACACACATGTAGTAGGATGGACAACAGCAGGAAGTTACGAGTCTGTTGTGGTTGTTGTTGTTGTTCGGACAAATGGAAGGAACTTGAAAGTGAGGAAGAGCTATCAGAGTAACGATGACATCGTGAGAGACCGGTGCCAGAAAGATGTTGCCGCTACGTGGAGAATATTGATAGGACAACACAGAGGAAAGTGGAAACAAATGACTTGATGCACTCCAAGTAAGAAGGGCCCGAACCAATCAACATGACGCATCGTTGACTCCGTCGCGGATGAATACCGTGCACTGGAAGAGCGCTGCGACCGCCCGCACGTGACGTGGAAGTCATCGGTGAGCACTCGCAGCGGAGTCTTCGCGTCAAAGTTCCACATTCAGTCCGCCCCCTCGCGTGCTAAGGACACAAACGAATACACGAGAGAGAGAGAGAGCCCACCACCACCACCGCCACCATGATCATCATGATCATCATCGTCGTGATCGCTGAACCAAGCCATTCGCCCTCCCGTGCTCACGGGGTATTTACACAAATTACCAAAACAGTTTTCCACGAACATCGTGACGTTAGAACAAATGTGTTCCCATAAACACACACACGCACGCGTGGACCTTATACACTCGCACGCAAATGTCTCTCCCGTGTAGCCTCTTAACAGGCTGCGGGGGCAAGTGCTGTTAACGAGTAGCAGCGCCTATGAAGGCCGGCACGGCACACGAGGGAGTGGGTGGCCAGCACCACGCCCGGCCGCCTTTGTCTCCCCAGTGGCGATTTTTACTACACATTGCACCAGGTACACATTTGAGGCTGAGTCGACCTAGGAGAGGCGCAGGACTAATTCAGATAATCTTCACTAGTGTTGACCGTGAATCAATCTCACACAACCGCCATTCGCACACTAAATGGCGGTGGCATCACCGTCAGATTCATCTATACACACAGACACACAGACAGACATACACACAGACAGACGAGACACACAGACACACAGACAGACATACACACAGACACACAGACAGACATACACACAGACACACTGACAGACATACACACAGACACACAGACAGACATACACACAGACACACAGACAGACATACACACAGACACACAGACAGACATACACACAGACACACAGACAGACATACACACAGACAGACGAGACACACAGACACACAGACAGACGAGACACACAGACACACAGACAGACATACACACAGACACATAGACAGACATACACACAGACACACAGACAGACATACACACAGACACACAGACAGACATACACACAGACACACAGACAGACATACACACAGACACACAGACAGACATACACACAGACACATACAGACATACACACAGACACACAGCCAGACATACACACAGACACATAGACAGACATACGCACAGACACACTGACAGACAGACACACAGACAGACGAGACACACAGACAGACATACACACAGACACACAGACAGACATACACACAGACACACAGACAGACGAGACACACAGACACACTGACAGACATACACACAGACAGAAGAGACACACAGACAGACATACACACAGACACATAGACAGACATACACACAGACACACAGACAGACAAGACACACAGACACACAGACAGACATACACACAGATACACAGACACACTGACAGACAAGACACACAGACACACTGACAGACAAGACACACAGACAGACATACACACAGACACACTGACAGACAAGACACACACACACACGGACACGTGGACGAGACACACAGACACACTGACAGACAAGACACACAGACACACAGACATACACACAGACACACTGACAGACAAAACACACAGACACACAGATAGACATATACACAGACACACTGACACACAAGACACACAGACACACTGACAGACAAGACACACAGAGACACTGACAGACATACACACAGACACACAGACAGACATACACACAGACACACTGACAGACAAGACACACAGACACACTGACAGACAAGACACACAGACACACAGACAGACATACACACACATAGATAGACATACACACAGACAGACAAGACACACAGACACACAGACAGACAAGACACACAGACACACAGACAGACAAAACACACACACAGACAGACATACACACAGACACACAGACAGACATACACACAGACACACAGACAGACAAGACACACAGACACACAGACAGACATACACACAGACACACACACACGGACACGTGGACGAGACACACAGACACACTGACAGACAAGACACACAGACACACAGACAGACAAGACACACAGACACACAGACAGACAAAACACACACACAGACAGACATACACACAGACACACAGACAGACATACACACAGACACACAGACAGACAAGACACACAGACACACAGACAGACATACACACAGACACACAGACAGACAAGACACACATACGCACAGACAGACAAGACACACACACACGGACACGTGGACGAAACACACAGACACACTGACAGACATACACACAGACACACTGACAGACAAGACACACAGACAGACAGACATACACACAGACACACAGACAGACAAGACACACACACACGGACACGTTGACGAGACACACAGACACACTGACAGACAAGATACAGAGACACACAGACATACACACAGACACACACACACACACACGGACACGTGGACGAGACACACAGACACACAGACAGACATACACACAGACACACACACACGGACACGTGGACGAGACACACAGACACACTGACAGACAAGATACAGAGACACACAGACAGACATACACACAGACAGACATACACACAGACACACACACACGGACACGTGGACGAGACACACAGACACACAGACAGACAGACACACAGACACACAGACAGACAAGACACACAGACATACACACAGACACACACACACACGGACACGTGGACGAGACACACAGACACACAGACACACAGACAGACATACATACAGACACACAGACAGACATACACACAGACACACACACATGGACACGTGGACGAGACACACAGACACACAGACAGACATACACACAGACACACAGACAGACATACACACAGACACACACACACGGACACGTGGACGAGACACACTGACAGACATACACACAGACACACACACACACGGACACGTGGACGAGACACACAGACACACAGACAGACATACACACAGGCACACAGACAAACATACACACAGACACACAGACAGACATGCACACAGACACACACACATGGACACGTTGACGAGACACACAGACACACAGTCAGACAAGACACACACAGACATACATACACACAGACACACACACACACATGGACACGTGGACGAGACGCGCCGTTTCCGCAGTCACAGCTGTAAGTGGCCGAGCGCTCCGTTCAGATCAAAACAAAAACAGCGGCAAGTCAAACAAAGCGCGCGGCGTGACGGGGGCCGGGAGGTGATGGGGCAAGGATGGGAGCTGCCATTGCCAGCCCGAAACATCATCGCCCATCGCGCCATCACTCACATCGTCGTCATCGTCATCATCATCATCATCCTCTCAACGTACGGTTCATTCGTCGTCACCAGGAGCAGGGTGCCACGGGGTGGCACGGAGTGGCAGGTGGCAGTGTTGATACTCGTGCCTAACAGCAAAGCAGAGCCCTGGGTTCCATTCCTTGCCCGGGTGCCTTTCTGTTGGATGATTGCTCTCCCCCTGTTCTACAGAGTGAGTGGAGTTTGTGTGATCTCCCCCTGTTCTACAGAGTGAGTGAGTGGAGTTTGTGTGATCTCCCCCTGTTCTACAGAGTGAGTGGAGTTTGTGTGATCTCCCCCTGTTCTACAGAGTGAGTGGAGTTTGTGTGATCTCCCCCTGTTCTACAGAGTGAGTGAGTGGAGTGTGTGTGATCTCCCCCTGTTCTACAGAGTGAGTGAGTGGAGTTTGTGTGATCTCCCCCTGTTCTACAGAGTGAGTGGAGTTTGTATGATCTCCCCCTGTTCTACAGAGTGAGGGGAGTTTGTATGAACTCCCCCTGTAATACAAAGAGTGACTTAGTGGAGTTTGTATGATCTCCCCCTGTTCTACAGAGTGAGTGAGTGGAGTTTGTGTGATCTCCCCCTGTTCTACACAGTGAGTGGAGTTTGTATGATCTCCCCCTGTTCTACAGAGTGAGTGGAGTTTGTATGATCTCACCCTGTTCTACAGAGTGAGTGGAGTTTGTATGATCTCCCCCTGTTCTACAGAGTGAGTGAGTGGAGTTTGTATGATATCCCCCTGTTCTACAGAGTGAGTGGAGTTTGTGTGATCTCCCCCTGTTCTACAGAGTGAGTGGAGTTTGTATGATCTCCCCCTGTTCTACAGAGTGAGTGAGTGGAGTTTGTATGATCTCCCCCTGTTCTACAGAGTGAGTGAGTGGAGTTTGTGTGATCTCCCCCTGTTCTACAGAGTGAGTGAGTGGAGTTTGTGTGACCTCCCCCTATTCTACAGAGTGAGTGGAGTTTGTGTGATCTCCCCCTG